TCTGACCTGAATGAGTAGCAACAGAAGAGTGAGATTTCGCTCGTGGGTGGGTCCGATCAGCTTTATGACAAAATTAATAAGTGTCATATTATTGCATTCAGTGTATTCGCCATCTTCATCTGTTCCACTCCTCACATCTACTATGTGCAAGATCTTGACTACCTGAGGAAAGAAATATTGGACGCTATTTCACCAGGTATGTTTGGTGTTCACTGGCTAGTCTTGCTCAAGACCCCTTTTGCTGCACCAGCCCTGAAATCCTGGTTGTGGTCTTACTGAAAAGACAGGACAGACTCGTGATGGTCCTGGGGTACTTCTATGTGTAGTTATTCTGAAAGACTGATTTTTAACACAATCAAGTGACTGGGAGGGATGGTAACAGACTTTCTTCCAGATTTGAGCCAGGCAGTAACTACTGAACCCTGAAGTTCTACATTTTCTCCCACCCTGTTTCTCTTTCCCTTGATGACTGCCTCAAAATGCATCTGAATTTTGAATGTTTTCCACAAATTACCTTCAGAATGCTTGTTCCCAGGGCAGAGAGGTTCTTAGTTTTGAATTTGGAGTAGCTCATCTCCAACTTCCCTGTACTAGGATTAAGCCTAAAAGAAACATTTAAAATTTAGTCCAGATGCAACAAGGAGATAGATCACTTTGTAAGCAGACTTCAATCCACAGCTGAGAAAGAAATCCAATGGTGGAAGAAACAGGAATAACCTGATGCACTTAAAAACAGCTGCTGGTATCTAGCCCCTCAAGTGGGGCAGAGAAGACTCCTTCCCATTGCACCCCCAATATATGCTGTGTAGTTTAAAGAATAAAACGGAAGACTCTAACATCTGCAGAGAGAACTGCTGATGTGGCATAGTTCTATAGAATGCTTGCTACTATGAAATCTTAGCAGATCCCACTGCCACAGTATTAAAAGGAGCCTGTGTCAATTTCTCTCGATCTTGTAGGTTGGAATCATCATGTTCTAACCTTGTTAAAAATCATTCTGTATCTGAGGGGTGGGCTGGTCAGAAAAGTGCACTTCTTTGAGAAACCTCTACTGTATGATCTGACTGTAGCTGGCAGAGTGAGCTTCTGTCTTTTCAAGAGAAAGCATACTTTGACGGCTTTTAAAAAGAGCACCTTCCACCACCTTTCTCAGCTGGTGTTGGGGGTAAAAGACACAACCCGTAGTGCCACTATAGGTCACTTGGTACATTACCTCGGTAGCCGGTGACGGGGACAAGGAATGACGTGGAAGAGTTGAGGCAATGAATAGAGGAAGTTGAGTACTTGTGGGATAAAAAAAAGCAGCATTGTTTTGCTGAAGTGTCCCAAGATCCCCACCACAGCAAAGGTCATGCCAGCAAAGTAGCAGAAGGTATCCCCAACGAACACTCGAGATGGGTACCTGCAATGCATGGAGCAGAAAAGGAAAGGTCTGACATGACTGCTATTGCCTCAAAAGTGACTTTTCATAACCACTGAATGTGTACCCACATTGCGGCTCAGGGTCCAATGGAGATCTGCAGCAGATCTCCACATTAAAAAGAATTGTAGGTATTTATTCTAAGAATTGCAGGACTGGGACCCACCACCTGACTGCAGAGAATATTGTACGAAAAGCCAGCCAGTGAGGCACAGGAGACAGTGTATTCTGCATGTTTGAGTGAGCTGGTGTGACCACAATTGTTTTAATACAAAACAATCCATGCTTTGTGTTCTTGGTTCTGGCAAGAAGCCTCTCTACACTCCAGCGTTCCACACCTGGAGGTGGTTAAGTGGTTTTGTTCGTTCAAAAAGGGAGAAAGTAGAGGGAAAGGATGCTTCCAAACAAATTCTGAATGTCTATCCTCTTACCAGTTGTAGTAAAATAGGCCCAGTGTGGTAAAAAAAAAGGGAATCATGAAGTAGAGAGAAAAAATGTGATCATCTCGATAATCCCCTATAGAAAAAAGAAAAACATGTGTTTGTGATAAGACAAGACTGGTTCATTTTTAGTAATACCAGCTACTGAAATCTAGAATTCAATCTCCCTTTGCTTTTTGTGCCCACAAATGTTTGTTATTTTCCTTACCGTTTAGCTCTACAATATTGAATATGATAATGGAAGCAGCTATCACCAGCGACTGTCCTGCTTCAATTCCATTAATTCCAGCAAGAATGTTGATGGCATTAGTGCAGAACACTGCTAGCATACCCATGTACACGTAGTAGAGGATACCTGCAGAGCAGAGCAAGCCAAATGCATCAGTATTTGGAGGCAAAGCAGGCCCTAGACCAATTCACTGAAGCTCTCACTTCTTGCTTTATACAACAACCCATTACCTAACAATCTCAGTGAGTTTTGATAGTGGTAGCTTACCAATAAGATTGTTTCTCTCTTACAAGCTGGCTGTCATGTCTTCATGTAGTGTGACTGTGACAAACTGCTGTGACATGGCGGCCAGCTGTGGTGCTGTTTCTGTCTTTCTAACATCCTGGTGTTATCAGCCATGTGCTGTGTGCCCCACTACTCAGCTGTATTACCAGGATCATGGGAAAATGATTGGTGTCTGTCTATGCACACCTGAAGGTGTGCTGGGTTTCTGGATGTTCTTTCCAGCCTAATGTTTAGTGGGTGGACTGCCACTCTCTTACTGGTTACTTAAGCAAATCCTTATTCTGCTCCCTCTGCAGTAAGAAGTGCTTCATGTGTCCTTGCCACATGGATGACAGCTTCTGGTGATTCATAACTTACCCAGGTCCAAGTGCATGCCCAGCAGCACCCGGAAGGGCTTAGGCACCACAATGGTCGTGTTCCCAAAGTTGGTGAAGTAAACCATGAGCAGTGGGAGGGAAGCCATGGTAGGAAGAAGCAACTTGTGGCGCCAGCGCAGGTTCAGAACATCATCTGCAAAGCCCAGGAAAATCATGCAGCAGATGGCAAGGAGCGAACCGATGAGCTCCACGAACTGCAGGACAGAGAACAGGACCCCGGTCACCGGTGGCCACTCCCTGCCCCTGCCTGCCACGCTTGCAGCACTAGACGAGCCTCACCTCGTCGTGAGGAAAGGCCGCGCACTGCTCCTCCACAAAACATCTCAGGAAGGGCACGGGGATGAAGCAGAAGAGGATGATCAGGAACACGGCACCGCTGATCACGCCCTGTGCTTCGGGGCTGGAAGGTAGAGCGGGGGGAGTCAGCCGTGCCTGGGCCGGCCCCACGGGGCAGCTCCCTGGGGCAGCGCTACTCACACAGGCCGCCTTGAGGTCTTGTTGAGGTCCTCCCCGAAGAGCCGCGCGGCGAGGAAGTGGTCCGTGAAGGCCGGAATCAGCGTGAGCGTGGCCGCGAAGCCCAGCAGCGACCCGCCGAGGTTGATGAGGAGGGGCACAGCGGGCCAGGCCGCCATGGCCGCGGCGGGCGCTGCCCCTGCCAAGGGCGCGGAGCGAGGCCGGGCGGGGGCGCTGCCCACCGCCTTCCCGGCCGAGCGTTACGCGGGCGGCGCCGGATGCGCGGGGCCCTCGCGGTCTATCGGGGGCGGGGGCGCCATCTTTGGCCCTGGCATGAGCCTCCTGCCGGCACGGAGCTCTGCTTGCACGACGGCCGGGATCAGTAGCGGTTTACCGCCGCGCTGAGGGTGTATGGAGGGGCCTGTCCCCGGTGCTAAGGTTCGCGGTGCTTCTCCTCCTCCGCGAGGTTTCTCCGAAACTCTGCGCCGGGAGCAGCACTCGCCCGGGGACGGCCCAGTCACGGACTCCGCCCCGCAATGCCCACAACCGCCATGGCCACCTTGCCCCCCGCCCCCGATTCATAGGTACGTCACTTCCTCCCATGCGGGATGTGAGTGAGCCCCAGTGGAGGGCGGGCAGCCGGGACTGCCTTTTGCCCAGGTCTGGGAAGCCGCGCTTGCGGGCGAGCCCCGGCCAGCGCAGTCACCGCCGGCCGGCGGGGTGGCGAGCCGTGTTACCGGGGTGCAGAATGCGCGAGATCGGAAAAGTGAGCGGCCGTTGGGTTCGTTTCCCCACGTGTTTCCTCAGATGTCGGGAAAATTCAGTAAAATACCTTACTGGAGATTTTTGATTGTCAGGAAATCTGTAACTGCTGATGGGCCCTCGGGGCTGGGGAGGGGAAGGTAGGATAGGCTCAGTGTCCATTCACTGTTCTGTTTGTTCAGGTGTCAGTCGATGAGCAGAGGGGGAGACGCAGCAGAAAGTCCGGCAGCAGTAAGAAGAACTTTTACGTACCCTGCAGCTGTATGGCAACCTGAAATGGTTTCTGATGGCTTTATCTGATTTTTCTGATGGCTTTATGGCCACCTAAGGAGCTGCTGCTGTGTTGAGAGGCCACCTCTGCTCTGCTGTCTGTTACACATATACAAAAGTGATTTTGTAAACTTTAAATCAACTTTGAGGCGGGCACACGGTACTGCCGGGGAGGAAAGCACAGCACAGAGGTGCAGGGGAGCCTGTCTGGCCAGAGGCCGCTGCTACTTTGGGTTGGGACTGTCGGGAGGTGATTAAAACTCGTGTTACTTGCCCTTTACGGCGAGAGTGGCACAATCGCGAGCAGACGAACGGAAAGGTTCTGCGGTGCTGCTGTGTCCCGCGTGCCTGGTGGGAACGGTGTAGTGACTCCCATCAGAAAAGAACGTGACGTGGAGAAAAGCGTCGCTAATCGAAACTCGGAAAGCCGGTGGGGACTTGAGCTTTCAGATTGCGGCTGTGCTCCTATTTCATTCCCCCAGAGAGAAGACTCGCGGCAGCAGCCGTGAGTTTTCCGGGCCGTTCAGGCCCGGCAGGCCCGGGGCGGAGCAGCGGGCGGGGTGTGCGCCGCGGCTCGGGCGGCGCCGCCGGGCCGCGGGGGGCGCGCGCGCTCCGCCGCGCCGGAAGGAAAGAGGCGGCGGCGGGTGCGCGTGCGGTGCCGCGGGGTAGCGGCGGGGCCACGTGCACCCGGTGCCGCGAGCGGGGCAGCGCCGCGGCCCGCTCGCCATGCCCGCCGCGCTGCCGTGAGCCCCGCGCTCTGTGCCATGGGGCCCGACCTGGGCTGGGCTGCGCTGGTGCTGCTCTTCGCCGCCTCGCTGCTCACCGTGGCGGCCTGGCTGCTCCAGTACTGGCGGTCCACGGCCCTGCGAGCACTACGGCGTCGCGGAGCGGCGGGGGAGGAGGCCGGGGCCCGGGCGCTGCTCGCGGCCCTTCTCGCCCTGAGGTCCCTACGGGAGCAGTGGCAGCGAACTTGGGTGCGAGCTCTCAACAGCCAGGCGCGCCGGCACGGGGTACGGCAGGGCACGAGCGGGGGAGCGCGGGCAGCCGCAGCGAGGTGAGGCGGGCCGACCCTCCTGCTCTTTGTTCGCGGGTGGCGGGACAGCCGTTCCCCTCACGGCGCTCCGGCCGGAGGAGCCGTTAGGCACCTTGCGGACGGCTCAGTTCGGCCTGCGTGGGAGCACGCTGCGGTGTGCGAGCACGGAAAGGGCGGAGTGCGTTACCACGCGTCGTTTAACGCGGGTTGAGGCAATACTGTAGTCACTGATTTTCCACAGCAATCTCTTCGAAATTTTCTGGTATTTATTTTCATTAATCTCCCGGTATTGCCATTGTATTATCTGCAGTTTTGAAGTTCATGAAGGAGAGTATGCCTTGATGATTCTATATGGAAATAATTCCATTATAGCTTGTGTTGCCTGCACAATGCAGGGAAGCAGGGACTTAATGCCTACAGAAACTGTGGTCCAAAGCAGTCCAAAGTCTATTGCAATATCCTTTTTTTTTTTTTAATCGTATAAGTGGGAAAGGATTTCCTTTCTGTTAAGTTGTGTAGGAAAATCAGGTGCTAAAAAAGATTAGCAGGAAGCTGACATACTTGAATAAAAAGCAGTTAAAGTCCTGAAGAACATAATGCAAACTTGTGTTTGAGTTTTCCAGCAAAAAGGGTTAGGGTTAGGGTTATCTCCCTTTTTGAATTAGTGACAAATTCTAGGCTGGATTCAATGTGAAGTGCCTTCCCCCACTAAGGTATAGTGCTCCCCTGCTTCCCCTGTAGAAACTCACCCTCTGCTTCCGTGCCCCTCTTATCACAATGCAATAGTCAGAGTGTTGCCAGTTGCCCATATCTGATATGCTGTGCTTTTCTGTCATGTGTTGAATTACTCAGATTATCACAAAATGACCCGAATGTATAAGTTTTAGAATTCAGGACTCCTGTAAAGGGAAGATTAGCCAGTGGCTGAATTGGCATGCAGGCCCCAGAAGGCCCCACTTCAGTTCCTGCTGCAGCTGCTCCTTGTCTGGAGCAGCATTGCCTCAGTGAGTTGCTGGGTCTAAAAGCTGTTTTCTGAAGCGGGGTCTGGGAGTTATCCTGGAGGACTTTGCATATGTGAGATTCTGGATGAGATTTGGACTTTCCTGGAGGTGCTCATATCTGTGAATTCAAGCTTCAACTGGACACCTTGTTTCCTTTCTCTGTATAGACAAGTTGAGGCGGGTAGAATTACAGTGTGCGATAGTTCTGGATGCTGGCTGGAGTGTCTCTGGGACCCCACATCATTCATCCTCTTTGGAACTATCAGGGTGGCTCTGACTACTGGCAACTAATAGTTTTCTCTTTGCAGAGTTCAGTGCAGATCACATTTGAAGAGGGTCCTCAGTTACCACAAGCTGCCAATATAAGTTGTGTGACATGCAAGGGACTGTCAGACCACAGCATGGTAAGGCTTTGCTGTTCTAAACTGTGCAGTTTGGTGTGATGGTGTGTTCTGCAGAGACTGCTGAGGCCTTTCTGATGGAGATGGTGGAACCAGGGAGGTTTTGGGTGAGGTCTGTTTGGAGGAATTTGGAGGCCTGTCTCCTGTTTGGAGGCTCTGGAGCTGTGCACGAGCGAGCTCTGTGAGAGAAGATATGTTGGTGGAGCTGGGATGTGTGAAGGCTGAACCCAAACATCAGGGTTCTACTGTGGTGAGCAGAGGAGTGCTCTTGTCACAGCACAGGGTCTGAAGTTGCAGGTTTGCAGCTTTGAACTTGGTGAGAATAACACAGCAGCCTCTTGCTGGGATATAAACTCATCTTTTCCATTTCTTTTTAGGTGCTGTGGTGCCATCTGTCAGCTGAAGCTGTGAAATTCCCTGTCTCTGTTACTCAGCAGTCCCCAGTTGCTGTTTCTGTGGACACGTATCATGTCACTTTGGCTGTGCTGCAGGCTCAGGTAAGGATTACAAGAAGTTAAACATTGACCTCCCTCCTCCATCTAGTCCCACGCTGATCGAGGAAGGAGGACCTGATTCAAAGTGCAAATAAAGGCCTCATTGGGCTGGGAGAAGCAGTGTGTTGTCACTAACATTTGGTGAGGTATCAAATATTCCCCATCTGTATGCTGAGTCTTGTTTTCTGAGTCTTCATATGCAGATTTTGGCTATGAAACATAGCTGCAAGAAATTCCAGAGAGTTTTGAGACATGGCAGCATCCTACATACTGCTTTCAAGTGGGTATTTAAGAAGTGAGAAGTTCAGAGAATTCAATTCCCCTTGTGGCATAGTGGAAGGGGAAAGGCTATGTAAAAGTATGGTGTCCTGGTAGTGGGTGAGAAAAAGAAATCTATGGTGAGGAGTAGTTTGCTTGTCAGTTCCCCTCATTATGTTCACAAGAGCACGGTGCAGCTTTTTCTGTGTGTTGGATATCGCGAGATGCTTATTCCAGCAAAGAAGCTCTGAAATCACAATGGGTGGTAACTCCATAGTTACTTTCTGGCTGGATTTGATTCTTTGGAATGTGGTTTTGTTTCCATCATGATGAAGGACATGATGCTGGAGATGGTGTCTTGCTTGGAGGTAGTGTGCTCATATGTGCACAAAAAAAAAAAAAAAAGAAAAAGAAAAAATAGACATGGCAAAATTAGAAGTAACTCAGTGGTAGCAGAAGCTAATCCCATGCTGTCGCAGACAGTTTGAAGCTTGTTCTTGAACCTTTTTGCTCTCAGAAGCTTCATTACAATTTTCGTCAGGTTATTCCAGTTTGATTTTGTACCTCTGTTCTGTGGTCATCTCCAGAAATCCAGAGCTCCAGAGAGCTCCTCTCTCTCTTAAGCATGTACTGTGCCTGCTGCCAGTCTAGTTGTGGGCAGCAACTGCAGTTGCTTTTCATTTCTGAAAGGTCCCCTTTTTCACATCTCATCCAATTGCTCCCCTACTCATTGGCATTTTCTAGGTCTCCTTGTCTGCACCTGGTAGAGTTTTGGGTTGATTGTTCGTGTAAAGGAGTTGCATATAGTATTCTAATTGAGGTCTTGCTGCTGCTGTTTTATGAAATGCAGGTTAGATTACCACATGCCTACCTGTTTTTTGGAATACTTCAAGTAGTGTGTTCCCAATTGTGCCCTGTGCCCTGTCTATTCTGGCACACCTCTTGTAGGTTACTTACGTGGCCACTGTGTCTCATATATGTTGCTTTTGTCCGATGACCTTCTGTGTTGTCAGTAAATGTCAACCTCGTAATTGAGAACTGTACTGAATTCTATTACCCAGTTTTTAGTAGGGCTCTCAGGTCAGTTCAGTTCCGTTCGTGTGTGGTTCTGCCTCTATCTGTCACATTAGTGATGCTTTTATGGGTACATGGGTGTGCAAATTCTTAACTTCAGCTAAACTACAGGATGGTCTATATTCTAGTTTGTTGTTACAGACTTTTGGTGACCCAGGTGGGTCTTCAACCGGGGGATCATCTTGTAGAGATGCATTGCTAACTTATAAATGGTTGCGTTTACATTTGGCAATGCCTAAGTGATGTAACTCAGTAAATATCCTATGTGTTGGTGCCCAGGTGGGCACTTTTGGATAGTACTCTGCAGGCTTTTTCTTCAGTTAAAGAAAAAATTGATAATTTTTCCCTCTGGTGGTGCCTGGGCATCCAGTCGCAGTGTGGAAGCCAGATCTCGCCATGGAGCTTCTGCAGCTGCTTCATCCTGTAGGCCTGGGAGCACTTGCGTTCCTATGTTCTGTTTTTTACTGTTGCACTGGTGTGAGGCCCTTTCAATTGATAAATTTGGAATGGGGCAAAAATCACCTAATGTAAGCAGAAACTAGTTCCAACTATGGATATTTGTTCTGGGCCAGGTGGAGATCCACTTGGAGGAGATACAGAATGAGGGTCTCCTGGTGTCATGGACATTCAAAGACAGACCAGACTTGGACCTTTTTGTTCTTCCACGACTTGGGCTTCCTGAGGTGAGTGGCTAACAATGGGAGGCTGACTGTGAGTGGAGGAAGGGAGGAAGGAGCAGAAACAGCTTAGAAGGTGGGCTGCTGTGGAGGAGAAGGGTTGGCAGCTCAATGCCATGCCCCTCTAGGGCAGTGGAGAGGATTCTTTCATCCTGGAATCGGTACTAGCTCAACTGTGTCAAAGCAGCATCCTCAAGAGGGCTGAAGTGGCACCAGTATCTGTTGAAGGCTTTCTGTCTATGTTGGTTCCTCCTGCTGTTGTCACATGTAGAACTGCAAAATGAGCTGGGTTGCCGCTCTTTCTTTGTGTGAGGTGGTGTTTGTTGTTGTTGTGTTGGTTAAGTTTGATTAGGTTTTTTTGAAGGGATTCATTAAAATTAAGAGATTAATGTGGGGAATCCCTGGGTTAGAGGTTTAATGAGCAGAATGTGGGTATGCTTGCACTTCTGTGATCCAGATAGATTGGCTGATTAGTTGTTCTATTGACACTTTTGTTACTTTATACTGAGAAGTCCTAGGAATTCGGCTGTTTTCCCAAAAGTGTGGTGGCACCATCTCCTGAGGTGGTGAGCATGTGACAAGCTATAAAATCTGTATTGTAAAAATTTACACCAGATAAACTTCAGAAGTAGAGGCTTAGTTTGTCTCATTTAGAAAGCTTGCATTTGCCTGCAGCTGCTACGCAGAAGCTTTAAGCTTTGAGGAGAGCGAGGATGGAATATGGGAAGAGTGTTTGGGAGGTTATTACTGGGAGAATGACTGTGTAGCATATTAGAGGCTTGAGAGGCAGGTGGAGCTGTAAGCTGTAAATGTGTCCATTTTTTAATGACATTCCTGCATTTCCCCTTGATTTACGGAGAGAAGGATGAAGGGAGAGCAGATTTGTCCACTATAAAGGATCTGGTCGAGGATACCATTGTCAGCACGAAGCCAGCCATGATGGTGAATTTGGTGGCCTGTACCGCTGTAGCCAGTGCGGTAAGTCACTCTTCTCGTGTCATTCTTGTGCCCCAAACACAGGCCCCAAGACAATTCTGAGGGCTGAGGCTCAGGCAGGAATCCAAGGCTTGAGTTTTGCTTCTGGGCAACAGCCGAATCCTGGCCTGCACTATCACAGGGGTTTGGGTAGTGCAGTGTGGTGCTTAGGGATAATTAGAAATTGCTCCCAAGGGCTTCTACCTTTTTTCTTGAATGCTGATTGTTGGTCATGTACTTGTGGAGCTGGACTGCCTGAGGTGCATCTCTTTTTGGCGTTTGCTCTTGCTCTGAACATGAGGGCTCTCTCCAAGCCAGCATTTGCAGACATGGAATGGCCCATGGTTTGTCATCGTCAGTTGACTGTCCAGTAGCCAGCAAGCTTGTTCTTGCCTGTCTCCTTCTCTGTCTGCCCTAAACTTCCCATCTGAAATAACGTTAGGGCCCACTGGACGTCAATAGCCTGGGAAACCTGCAGCATCTCTTGATGGCTTTGCGGGTATTCCCCTGTGTTGGTGTGAGGAGCTACTTAATAGATACAAGGATGATGCCTCTTGCTGGTGTCTGCTGGTGAGTGAATGATAAAGGTAATGGTCTTGCTCTCATCATTCCTCAGATACCCAGCAATAAGTTGACTCGAGAGTCCCCGTCCAGAGTAGCAGCAGCCCCTCTGGTTTCTAAGCTGTTGCTCCGGAATCTTCGAGTGCTGAACTTGGGCTGCCAGGGAAAGGGAGGTAAGCGTGAAAACATTGCTGATCCACAGGGGCAAGCGTGCAGGTGGCGAGATTGGAGCGAGTGGATGTTTTGGGTGGGTTTGAATGGAAAAGAGGGGTGTGTGTGTGTGACGAACCACTGCCTCTTGTTGACGAGTGCACATGTGCCCTCTGTCTCTCTTGCAGGAGTTGGGGAGATACGCTGTGTGGCAGAGCTAGACAGCCCCCCGCAGCAGAAGTGGACGAGGCCAGTGATAGGTGGCAGTGTCGGTGCTGCCGGAGAGATGGAGTGGAATGATGAGTTCTTTCTGTAAGTGTTTGCTCTCTTTCTGGCTGGAGCAGTGTAGGTGGACCGGCACTGTGTCTGGTATCATTACCATGCTGCAGTAAGTGATGTGCACGGTGCAGAGATGAAGCCTGTGCCACAGGGCAACATCTGTTTATGCTGCCCCTGTGCTGGACTGCTGATTGGGGCATTTGGCCCCAGCTTGCATACATATTTCTCGCTTCTCTGGACACTCTGTGTTTTAACTGGGTGGGCAGAAGTGCTACATGTAGGCGCAGCAGGTGCAATAGGGCTGTGGCATAAACAGCCTTTCAGAGGCATTGCCCTCTCAACTTCCACTGTCAGCCTACACAGCTCTGCAGGGCACGCAAACCAGAATTCTCATTTTTGTCATTTGGTACTCTAGTCATGTCCTCCATGGTAGTGCATGCTACTGAAACTTTAGAGAGGGTGATGAGGCATGTGAGATTTGAGGGAGGGAAGATGCAGAATGAGGTTGTTTGCTCCGTGGCCACTTTAGAAAAGATTGCCTAACACCAGCCCCTCTTTGGTTTCAACAGGGAGTTGGGACCTAGAAGCAAAGAACTGAAACTACAGGTGCTGAGGAGCAGCGATGGAGGGGGAAGTGAGTACGAACAACCCTAAGATGGGTTTTAAGACTGGGAGGCAAAAATGCCTAAGGGACTCCCTGTGCTTTAGCTCATGGTAGTTCTCTGTTGGTACGTGTGATGAGTTCTGCAAAGGATTTTTCATATTTAGCTTTATGTGAACTTCTGTGACTCTGTGAAGTAACTCATTTTGTTCTTCTTGCCAAAATGGTATGGGTCTGACCTTGAATCAGGAGGTTCCTGTGGCCTGCCTGTCTGCATTCTGAAGCAGGCAGAAGCATGCAGGATTTTGCCTCCTGTATTAGGAGAGCTTTGCATAAGGCTCTTAACTGTTCTTTTGTACTCAGTCGGGGACCTAGTACAGCATCTATTTTTGATTGAGGCCACACAGTGGTCATCTTTTTAAGGGAGTTGATTCCTGAATTGTTAAAGAGGAGCGGAGGAACATTGCTTGCCCCTTCTCCCTCTTGAACTTGGGAGTTAGTGGAGTTGTGGCAGTGTGCTGTGTTGGCCTATTGTGCTGCTTCCCAAAAGCAGGGATTACCTTGGAGATGTCTGAGGTGCTGAGGTCATGTGAAGTGTTTAATTTTTGCTCTTCCTTCTTGCAGATGTGCTGCTGGCATATGCCACACTTTTGATAGATTCTTTGGACAAGCAGCCATCTGGGAGACAGGTCTGCTCACTGGCCCCGGGAGCTGGACAGTCACTGACAGCTGAAGCTACCATTGCATTGGAGGTGAGCTCATGACCCCACAAGCTGTGCATACATGCATGCTCTGGAAGAGTTCATAATGTGAGCCTCTAGCTGGAGACACGCATGTTTGGGCCTGAGCTTGGCACAGAGGGCTAGCAGACCCTTGTGCCATGGAGGGGTGGATGTCACCTGACCCTTGGTCCCTGAGCCTCTCGCTGTTGAACTTATACTGTACTGGGAATGACTCCTTGGTGCCCAGAGCCGCAACTTTTGTTGCCCAAACATGCCTGCCTTTCCATCTGGGAAGAAGAGTGCCTCTCTGATCAGTGCTTTACTGCTTATAGCTGCTGTACCAGGAGTCTCCTGCATCTCTGAATGCTCCACATGCTACATCTCTGAGAACCAGCATCACCCCCACTAAGAAGGTGGAGATGGACCGGACCATCATGCCTGACGGCACCATTGTGACTACTGTCACCACAATTCAGTCCCGGCCCAAGGCAGACTGCAAACTGGGTGAGACTGTACAGCAGCAGGTTTATTGTACAGGTGGCTCCTATGGCAGCACAGATTTAGCTGCAATTATTCCCATGGCTGCTCATGAAGGCAGTAGCAAAACTGTTTAGCCATCACACCTGGATATGGCAGGCTCACGCTTTACGTATTGCTTTTGGTGTGTGGGTCAGAACACGGGCATCCATGCTGTTCCCCTAGCGTCTTCGTTGGAAACTCTTGTGTAGCCCTAGGGTATAGAATTGCAGTTCTGTGTCTGGAGGAGGTGAGGGAGGGATGAGCCTTTCACACACCCTTTTGGTGGTGGGAGGTCTAATGCATATGCCACCACATAACCTGTGCATGATGTCAGGCTAAGTGTTTAGCCATGCTTTCTCTCGTTTCTTCACTGCTAAAAGTTAGGCTGAACATACTGATTGTGGAGCCAAAAGCATGTTACTAGGGGTTGTTGCTGCTTGTGATCTGGCATCCTGGTGAATGTGGTGCTGGATGTTCCAAGAGGCGGGGCTAGGAAATTACATGAATGAAGTATTGCTGTGCGTCAGCTTCACAGGACTTGCAGCCCAGAAAGGCAACCATATCCTGGGCTGCATCAAAGGAAGCGTGGCCAGCAGGCCAAGAGAGGTGATTCCTCTGCTCTGCTCTTGTGAGACTCCACCTTGAGTACTGTGTCCAGCCTTGCAGCCCCCCAGCACATGAAAGACATGGACCTGTTGGAGTGCGTCCAGAGGAGGACCTCTAAGTTGGTCACGTACCTGGAACACCTCCCTGTGAAGAAAGGCTGAGAGAGTTTGAAGCTGTTTAGGCCAGAGTGGAGAAGGCTCTGGGGAGACATTACAGCAAGCAGCCTTCCAGTACCTAAAAGGGGGCTTGCAGGAAGGCTGAAGAGTGATTTTTTTACAAGGGCATGCAGTGGTAAGGCAAGGGGAATGGCTTTAAGCTGAACGAGGGTAGATTTATATTAGCCATTTGGAAGAAATTTATCCCTCTGAGGGTGCTGAGTTGCCCAACTGGCACAGGTTGCCCAGGAAAGCTGTAGATGCCCTGTCTCTGGAAGTGTTCAAGAGCAGGCTGAATGGGGCTTGGAGCAACCTCGTCTAATGGCAGTCTGGTTGGAACTAAGTGGTTTTAAGGTCCCTTCCAACCCAAACCATTCAGTGATTCTGATTTTTTTTCCCAGTGGGCTTCTTACTGCCACAAAGCCTTACAGAGCTGCCTTGCAGACTCTCCAAATACTCGCTTGAGGCTTTTGGGGGTTGTGTAGGGGGCACAATATGATAATGTAGTAGTGTAAGCTTCATCTCCATTTACTGGTATCTCGGTATCTCTTTTGCTGTGAAGATTCACCATCGAGGTCGCCTTCCAAAGTGGAAGTGACTGAAAAGACAACAGTGCTTTTGGAGACTGGCCGCCCTCACGGCCACTTGCCCAGCAGTAGCCGTAAGTGCTTGGAAATTTGAGGCTCTTACTGAAATAACTGTGTTCCTTAGCCTGTTTTAGAAGTGGCAATCTGAGTGCAGTTCTCTGAACTTGCTTGCATTTTCTGCTTCAGAGAATGTCCAAGTGCCTGAGTGAAGGTGGGGGCAGAAGGCTGGTGGTGGTGGTGTGTGGGCAGGTAAAAGACATTCCCCTTTGACTCTCCAGTCAGGGACTATGAGTTTTCTTGTGTTTCCTTGCTTGACGAGTACTTTCCAGGCTATCCGGACCCAAACAACTTTGGTCACCCTGCACTTGGGGCTCTGATTGTGTCTAGAACAGAGCACTGCACCTCTTTTGACAGTTTGCTGCCAAAGCAAACTATTGGGAGTCTTTGGAAGTCTTTGTTGAGTGGCGGGGGGAAGGGGAGGTGTATTTTAATGATATGCCTGGCGGGAAATGAAACTTTTCAGGTACCTGAAAAAGCCAAGAGCTACCTATGCAGAGCTTCCTTCATTTTGTTTATTTGGACAAGTCTCCCATAGACCTTGGGTGGGGAAACTGCATTCGTGTGCATGTAAGTTGCCTATCGCAAGCATTGCAGTCAGAAAGCGACCTTTTGCCTCTGCTGAAGGTTGCTTCTCCAAGCATTGGTATTTTTCTTGTGCTCAGGGGATAGCCGTTTGCCCAATGGCTTGGATCCGGTGGCTGAGACGGCAATCAGGCAGCTAACTGAGACGAATAACAAGACCACCAAGAAGACACCAACGAAACGTAGTACACTGATCATCTCAGGAGTGTCCAAGGTCTCTGGTAGTTAGGAGCTGCATTTCCAGTCTGGGAGGTTGCTTCTAGGGATGCGTGTGTGAAACTAACCTGTCCTGTAGGGACCGGTGTGGGAAGGCTCCAGCATGGATGACTGGCTCATCAGAAACCTTTAGCTGCTTCCCAGTGAGCATTAAAAGATTCCTTGCCAGTCTGCAGGGCAGCTGCCAGTGGGAGTTCACAGCGGGCAGCTGCAGAAAGGGATGTGGTTGCCATAACTGGTTTTGAACCTTGTGGAGAATATAAGTTCTCCCTGAACTTTGCTGCGGGAGTAAGGGATGTGCAGCAGAATGCCTTGTAATCGGCCACATTCCAGTACCTTTCAGCCAAAGAGTGACAATTGTCCATTGGTGCCATCTAGCACTGATGATCTGAACTGGGCCACCCATATGTAGGTATAGATGGAAGTAGGCAGATGAATGGAATTCTTTTGATCCTGTGTTCATGTCTGTCTGCCCCTCTAACCCCCCTTCAGGTACCTATTGCTCAAGACGAAATGGCACTTTCTCTGGGTTATGCTGCATCCCTGGAGGCCACAGCGTATGGGGACTCTGAGGCAGACAGCACAGCTGACCAGATGCATGATTTTACTGAATTGTCACAGCCACTGGAAGCGTTGCCATCGGGTCAAAGGGACAGTCAGGAGCTGGATGAGACAACGCGATCAGATGTCTCTGAAAGACCATCTGTGGAAGATGTTGAGTCTGAAACTGGCTCCACAGGAGCCCTTGAGACAAGGAGCTTGAAAGATCACAAAGGTAAGCATGAACTGTTAGGTAGGGTAGCTAACATGAGCCCATAACATTAGCTGTACGTGAGGACAGAGTGACATCCAGATTCCCCACCCAAGCATGGGGTCTGCAGCCACCTTTTAGCATAGCAAAGAGCAGCATCTGATGGAGCTGGGAAGAGCCTGCTTTTGTCTTGTGGTTTTTCCACTGAAGTGACTTGAAAGGCCTTCATTTGTAGGTGTCTGATTCCTGTAGCCTTTCAAGTTTCTGTGCTCTCTTAGATGGGAACCCTGTACAGCCTGTGTATTATAGAAAACCCCTTTTCTCTCCCTGGTCTCCAGGTCCACAAATTGGGCACATGCCCATAAATAATGATTCATCCTCTGAATTTGGCCACCTGTGGTGTGGACATGGAGGCCACCCAGCAATGTAGATTGTATTGGCCTTGATTGCCCTCCTTCTTTCTCTGTTACTGTCGAAGCAGCTAGTGCCTCTGACCCGTCGTAATGTAAGATGCTCACACAAACTCACTTATTTTAAATGATGGAGTGGGCTGCCCCGACCTAGCTGCTGTCCTGGCCTTTCCACACATTTGTCAGGTGGATAGTGCACCTTGGATTTTTCTGCTACCGACTTATGTAAAGAAATGCAAATCAAAATCTTGATTACTCAGACTATTAGAGTGGAACAAATTTTCGGGAGTTGTACCCTGTTACAGCTAGGTATGATTTGGGCTGCAGAGGCCCCTTTTTTGAATGTCAGTGGGTAGAAGGATGTGTGACCCAGATTCCCAAGAGAGCTGGTGGGTGGGGAACAGAGGGAAAATGGAAAGCAAACCCCCTCTGTAGGAAATACCATTGTAGTGTTATATGGCCTGCAGGTTTTGTATCTTGTCTTTCTGATCCATTTGAGGTTGAAAGCAATTGGCATCTCCACCTTCTCCTGCTTGTGGGAGTCATAAGGAGCCATTGGCATTATTTGCTTCTAGACTGGGCACGTCATGAAAATGTAGGCAGTTGTTCCAGGCGCTAGGTGACAAAGTTAACCCCTGTGCCCTTGAGACAGGCTGATCTGAGAGGCCTTTTCCGTCTTGTATGTTCCTCTCAGGGTCTTCAGGTTCAGATGATCTCACTTGTTTTCCATTCATGTGAGTCTTGGTTGTCATTTGAAATGCTGCACGCTTCCACTGAGAGGAGGATGTTGTGTAAAAGGAATTTTCTGCAGAGGGGAGATGGGACGGAATGTTTAGTGAGGCAGCTTGTTGGTGTTGCAGTCTATCGTGAACTGAGACTTTGCCTTGGGAAGCTGGGATTAGCCAACCTGTGTACTTCTGCCTCTCAGTGTGGAAGAGAACTGCTGTATATCTGAGAATGGCTGGGTGTGTTACTGTCCCTGAAACTTGCCAGTGCAAGACACTACCATGGTTTCTGTCTCCTTCTTGTCTCTGCAGTTAGCTTTCTTCGGAGCGGTACCAAGCTCATCTTCCGGAGAAGGAGCAAGCAGAAGGAAGCAGGCCTGAGCCAGTCACACGATGACTTGTCCAATGTCACTGCCAACTCCACCACCAGAAAGAAAACTGGTAGCTTCTCTCACCGCCTCATCAAACGCTTCTCCTTCAAGTCTAAATCCAAACCCAAAGGTGGTGACAACACATCAGCTGGTGAAAACTGAAGGAGGGAGAAGCCCATTGGAAAGATTTCTCAGAGATTGTTTTCTAGTCTCTTGTCTTCCCACTCCATGGTATCTGTGACTTGCAGTCCAGTTCTTTCCAACCTTGGCTGAGGGAAGACACCCCAGTGCTTTATGCCGTTTGGGGAGCGGAGGTGGCAAACCCGGGACTTAGGTTGTTTGGCTGCCTTGGCTTAGCCTTCTCTGCTTGTTGCACCCTACTGTGCTCTCCCAGAAAATCCAGGTGGCATGCTAATCCCCCTGGGGGTTCCAGGAACTGTAGAAATGACTCCGTGTGTGTCATCAGGTGCCTCATGGAAACGGGGGGCAGGTCTCTCAAGTGGCAACCTTCAGAGTTAAAATCAAGAAACTACTGGGTTAGCTACAGGGCCAAGAAGTGTGAGATGTAGCCTCATTCAGGTCTTCTAGTGACAGAGAATGATGCAGTCACTGATGATCTAAACACTGCTATTGCTTGTGCTCGGTGCAGAGGCTGTAACTTGAGGTGTGCTGCGGGGTGATGTGTTCCTGAGCTGTGAGCTCTCAGAAGACAGCTGTCAGCTGTCAGAGTTGTGGTCCTCCATCTGGCTCTGCCATTGGAACAGTGTCTGGTTCAGACAGCTCTGAGGAACCCCTGTTTTCTGTGCTCTGTTGGTGAAGGAAGAAGTCTCTAAGAAGAAGGAAGTTTTAACTACTGTATAAGTTTTCATAGAAGCCTGAGCCTTCGCAAGAATGCCTGGTCAGTGCTGTTGGTTCTGCCACCCTGTGCAGCCACCCCGTGACACAACGCTCCTTCCACATCTGTGTTCTTGAACAGGGAAGGGCATGTACTGAATGCACACACCAGCTATTGTATGAGCAGATCCCTTAGTCTTGGGGGTTATTGGGGATGTTGCCAAAGGGCTGCCAGGCTGTCTTCCAGACCTGCCGAGTGTCCAGTCTCGTGCTGTCATGGCTCTCATGCCAAGGACTGGCACCATGCTGGGGATGGATGGCAAGGAATGTAGTGAAGGGCAGTCTAATGGGGAGCCTGAAGGGGCTTGCACATGGCAGAAAGAGGCAAGAGTTTACATATTGTCACTGATGGGTTTCCTTTAGTAGAGGGAATCTTTCTGGATTGTATTTGGTATTTCCTTTCTTCTCGCAAACACGGTCCCCTCTGTTCAAACAGAGGACATTTCTGCAGCAGGTACTTGCAGAGATGGAGAAGTGTGCAGGGGAAAATAAAATCCCTGTGCAGGAGGAGACTGTCCTTCTAGAGAAACAGTTGTCCGGTCTCCTGGCCCATACACATTTTATCTATAATATTCCCAGAAGTTTCCTTCAGATAGCACATAACAATGCTCTTTGGAGATACACTCATGTCCTGTCAACATGCCTGGTTTGAGAGACACCTCCTGCTATCCTGTGGGTTGTTGAGCTAAGGAGGTAGGACAGAGGGGAGGAAAAACCTCATGGAAGAGCTATTTCCCAGGCCTGACTGGATTCTCTAGTTCTGCTCTTCCATCAGAGTATCTCCTGTGGTAGTGTCTGCTGCCCTTCCTTGTACAGGATGCTGCCAACTGAAAAAGCAGTTCTCTTGATGGCGCAGGTTAAATGTGTTTCTTGAAAGGACAAACCCTGACTTGCTGATACTGCTGCCGTGTGCCATTTCCAAGGACCAGAACGTGTTTGGTGTGCTGCAGCAAAAGGATTTACGGGTGGCTGTTTCTTGCGAATTTGTACAGGTGGGGAAGGCCAGAGTTTCCAAGGGTTGTAACTGAAAGTGCCTGTGTGTGCTAGCAGGAGGGACTCCTGGCTGTTTTTCCTGCTGATTCCTCACATGATTGGGCATGTATGAATCTGAAAAATCGTATTGGTTCAGCTGGCTGACCAGGAATCTCTACATCTGTTTTGGTCTGTGAGTCTTTGTTGTTCTCAAACTCTGTCATATCTTTTATCCTTTGTTTCTTTGTTCCTTGTCCGCATAGCACTGTGGCTTTGTTTGCACTTCCATGCACTATGGATGCCAGAGAACTCGCTGTTTCTCACTGAGAATGATTTTCCTTGATGTCAGTGACTGGTTTGCACTCCAGTGCCATTAGAACTTGGTCATCTGTAGCTTGCCTATAGCAATCCAGCCACCGATTTCACATCATCTTCTTTTGCTGGGTTGGTGCCGTGTGGTGCTGTCACATGCGGTCTGACGCACCCTTGTTCTCAAAGTCTCGGAGTTTGGTTTTTGGATTTTATTTATTCATTAGGACACCATCTCAAGGTACTAAACCATGAAGATTTGAATCCAGACAGCACCACTTCTCTGGCAGGAGACTGTGAAGCCTTGCACTAGAAATGCTGGTTTGAGCAGAAGATCCTATGGCATTTCAGTTGTAGGTTAGTCAAGGACCTACCATGAGTCTCATTTGCTAGTCCTGTGTTCTTTTCTTTAAACTGTAAGAGCTTGAGCTGTCTTGGTGTGGAGCGGCTGGAGGTGAACACCGTTCACCGTTCTTCGGAATCGGGGATCTGAGGCTCATGTACACAAAGGAGGACTGTGAGGGCTTGCCAACGTTGTCCTTGTCACTGTAGACTGGAGGCAGAAAAGGCAAGGTTTCTGTCTGACAAACACATACCTAGATTCTTGACCAGCATATTTTGGTCCGGCTTGTAGGAGGAGGTGATAGGAAAGGGAGTTAAACAGAAGCTCAAGCTACTCCTTGCCTTGGGGACTCTTTCTAGCTATGTTAAATGGGCAGTTCCTGTCATACATCTGTGGCTTTCCTGTTTTGTTCCTGGTTTGTTGGCTCCAGGCTATGCCTGCCAGTGACTTGCAGAGATACAGTTTTTGATTTTGAACTTGATGTGGCGGAAGACATCTGGACTGTGTTTGGCCAAGCGAATGGTACATGGGAAGCATGCCGGTAGGGGCATATCTTCCCTTGAATTTTTAGCAGTGTTTTTTTACCATTGGCAGTAAATTGTGCTGCAAATCAGTATCTGGTTAAACGGCTTGCAAAGGAAAGGGATGTTGTCAAGTGCTGGCAGAGCACATCTTCAAATATTAGGACCTACATCTACTTGTGTTTCCTAGAAGAGATGTATTTTCTGACATTTTGTTGCTTCTCAAAGTTGTACAGCATAGGAATGCTATTGTAACCTTTTGTCTTCTTTTGAATGTTCTCTGTAAGTCCAGACTGGTTTTCATGGTGTTTGTCAAAAGTACTGTTTGAGGAACAGAGGGGATAGCAGGGTATGGGTCTGCTGTGTCCAATGGAAATTTTTTGGTTCTGATACTCTCCTCATTAAACGTGTTGATCTTTCCTCTTCTTATCTGAGCAAGGCTTTCTTTCTGGCCCACAAAGATGTTTTCATCCCCCGGAGAGTAGGTGCCGTTTTTTTTTAATCCTGACTTTAAGAGCACGGGTTCCTGGTTCCTCAAAGGCTTGAATGGTAATGAATTCACCTCGTGGTGGAGGTGTGGTTATTGGTGTGAGAAACAATTTGTCTATTCTGATTTTCTCAGATGGAAAGAGAAGGTCACACAGGGTTCTCCAGAAGCTGCAAAGATGAAGTCCCCAGGAATCTCCCCCCACAGAATGGCTGCTTTAAGAAACCTCTTTTGTATTTAATGTATTCTGTGTTTCTGGCTTTAGGACAGAAGAAATGCTATTTGAAATCTACTTTCCCTGTTAAACTTCTTCCAGATACCTGTGCCCTTGCCTTGGTGCTGCTGTGGGCTCTGTGGCATTTCATAATGCTTGAGACCACAGAGTAACCCCATGAATGGCACAGGCCACCATCAAAATTTTTAAGCTCGAATGATCTGCAGTTGGCAGATTGTTGTCTCAGGGTAGGCTCGCTTTTTGCACCTTGTGAAATTGGTCCTTGACCAAATATATGGTGGAAAAGGAACAGCAGAGCAGTGGGCTTGAATGCGTGGAGGCTTCAACCTGCATATGAGGGCCTGCTTTCCAGATGCTGTGTTTTCCTACTGGCTGCACAAGCAGAACACTTGACTTGTACATGAAGCCAAAGCAGGCATTTTGTTGAGATTATTTTGGGTTTTTGTTTGTTTTGGTTTGCTTGGAGGGTTTTTTGGTTTATAAGGGGTTTCTTGTTTGTTTGTGGGTTTTGTTTGTTAGTTTCCTATTTTGGCTGAACAGATTTACTAGAATTTACCTGTGTATTTTCACTTCTCTGAAGAAAATAGATTTACGTTAGCTGAAAGCTGTAACTATGCTTGTAAGTATATTTCAGTCTAGATAAATCTTCTCCCTATGCTTAGGGGCAAGGCTGTTTAGGAGTGTCATCATCCACAAAGCCCTCGGTGTTGGCCCACGAGAGATATCCTCTTGAGTCAGTGGAAAGCAGACACAGGAAAAAATGAAGGGAACCTCAAAACCTCAGTGTTCTGAGGGTGCCATAGGATTTAACATGATGGATGTCTGAGGCCAGAGGAATTGGGTGCATGGATGTGTATTTGCACGTGCTTATAATTAGAGCATACTCTAATTATAGAGTATGTGGTGCAAAGTGACTGAGGACGACAATGCCGATAGATGGGACAGGAGAGTGGCCTTACCAGCTTCTGTGGCATTCATACCCATTTATTGCACAGACTTATGCAGGAGCAGACCTGAGCAAGCAAGTCCAATTCCTGCCCCTGCAAGCACCCTCATGCAGCTTATGCAGTTGAGGGTGGGGTTTTAGGCAGCTTGACTGAAATGGGGAAGAGCAAGGGGAGACTACTTACCTGGAGAGCAAGTTCAGTGAAGGGGAATGTAATGAAAGCTTCTTCCAACCACAGGCAAGTGCTATATTTAGATTAGAACTGGGCGTCTGGCAAATGTTCTTGTTAAAGCAATGATGTAGTTTCTCTTGGGACATTGTTTGCTAAACCTACAGAGAAGTAATTTCTGAGTAGCCGTGGAGATGCTTGAGTGTTTGGAGCGTTGTAGTTTGTGGTCTTTTGGCGTTGTTCTCTCCATCCCAACTCCCCTAGTGCAAGGTCACGGTGAGTCTCAGGGTAGAGTAACAGTCCCAGCATTGGTCAAACTTCTGGCAAAGGTGTGCTTGTGATCTCACAGCTCCTTCTACAGGCATGACTGCTTCACATCACCTTTCCTTGCTTTGTAAGGTACTGGACCAAATACCCACACGGAATTTGAATTAACACCCTTCCTTGTGTGTGCTCTCTTGTACTTTGATGCGTTCTGTCTGGGTGGATTATTTTGACCCCACATTGTTCAGGTGGGAAAGAATTGGAACTGTGTAGCTAATAATGAAAATAAAACTACATATGACTAAATGAAGTTCTTGCACCTTTGTAAATCTCAAAGAAGAATTCTATTGCTGTGTAATGGCTGAATCTGTTAACTTATTAAACCACATGAAAATCAAAACCTGAGTCTGATGTCATACTTGGTGTAGTGCTGTGTATTTCCCTCCAACCTGTCCCTGAGTGGCCGGCTGGCTCCTGAAATTCTGCATTGTGCAGGATGCCTCCCAGACCCAAGCTGGCACCAGTGGCAACTCGGGCTAGTTTGACAGTGCCAAGTGGCTTCTGCAATCTGCCATCAGGAACCTGAGCTGGTGAGTTTTGTTTGCCAGGGAAAAAAGCTGGAGTTGGCGTTCAGGTACCTGTGGTGCTAAGTGGGTGGCCGTCTGCTGGGGTTCTGAAATCCAGGTCGCCCCTGGATTTCATCCCTCACTTCCTCCACTGCCCACCGGTCATTCCCTACAGCAGCATGTGGGAGGCCTAACACAGTCTTTGGGATGACACGCAGACATTGCGGGCTGAGGGGCAAATATGGGGCGGGGGGGGTTGACAGGTCGAGAGCTGACACTGAGGGTTAGGGGTGCAAAGGACACAGGGTACCAGGTAGGGTTGGGGTACAGGTGCAACTGTAATGGTGGGACAGCCCCAGGACTCCCAGCAGGTGCAGGCAATTACCCTAATGGTGGGACAGCCCCAGAACCCTCTCAGCAGGTGCAGGCAGTTACCCCAATTAGAAATGATGTTTGGAGGCCACAGAGTTACAGGTAGGAGTTGAACAGTTTTTTAGGGTTTTTTTTTGTTTTTTTTCAGGGATTTTAAAGGTTATTTTAGAGGATTTTTTGCAGGAGTTTTTTAGGAATTCTCTGGGAATGTTTAGGATAAATTTAGGGCTTTTTCAGGGCTTTTAAAAGAACTTTTTAGGGTGTTTTAAGGGCTGTCTTAGTAGTAATTGGAAGTGTTAGGGGTGTTTTTGGGTATCCTTGGGGCTTTTTTAGGACTGCTTAAAAGCTTTTAGGGCTTTTTGAGGAGTATTGAGGGTATATGGAGGACTTTTTTTAGGACTAGGGTATTTCTAAGGTTTTTGGGGGAATTTTTAGGGTTTTTTTTAGAGTCTTATCAGGGCATTTTAAAGATTTAAGGGGTATTCTTAGAGCTCTTTTAGGATTCTTTAAGGATTTTTTAAAAGTTCTTTGGGATTTTTAGAGGTGTTTTAGGGGCATTTTAAAAGTAGGGTATTTTTAGTGTATTCTGAGGCTATTTTTAGGTTTCTGTGGGGTGTTTAGGACACTTTGAAAACTAGGGCTTTTTTAGGGAATTGATAGGCTTTTTTTAGGTTCCTTTCAGGGCATGACAGAGGCTGAGGGGTACTGTGGGGGCTTGAGGGTGGCAGAGGCTGGGAGCTGAGGGAAGAGCAGGGAGAGGGCACAGTGGGTGGCAGGGGCAGCTGGAGGGTGACACTGAGAAGCTGGGGGCTGAGGAGCAAAGAAGAGGGATTAAGGGTGACACACAGGAGCTGAGGGGCAGCTGAGAGGGGCCTCGAGGGGCACAGGGGGGGCTTGAGGGTGACAGACGGAGCCTGCGGGGCATAGGGGGGGCTTGAGGGTGACAGAGCCTGAGGGCTGCTTGGCAAAAGGAAAAGGGTTGGTGTTCAGGGGCCTGTGGACTGGAGGGGCCGGCTGGCTCCTGAAATTCCGCAATACGCAGGATCTTTCCCAGACCCAAGCTGGCACCAGTGGCAACTCGGGCTGGTTTGACAATGCCAAGTGGCTCCTGCAATCTGCCAGCAGTAACCTGGTATGGTGAGTTTTGCTTGCCAGGGAAAAGGGCTGCTGTTTGTGTTCGCGGGCCTGTGGCCCGGAGTGGCCTGCTGCCTGCCGAAATTCCACTTTGTGAAATATGCCTCCCAGAGCCAAGCTGTCACCAGTGCCAACTCCAGGTACTTTGGTAGTGCCAAGCGCCTCCTGCTGCTTTGCGGAGATAATCAAAACTCCACAACTTTTGTGAAAGTTGTAAAGCCAGTATATTTATTATTACAGCGCCAGACGTGTGTGGGAATCGTTCCCCTAAAATGACATGCATACCTCTGGGAACTTCAGGTCCCTTTTTATCCCCCTCTCAAATACATGTGCATACAATTTCACAATAGGTCCATACATATTCATTTTTACATATTTTGCGTGACATTTGCTGCTAATTCTTTATCAGAAAGAATTCCTAGGTCAGGTTGACCTGCTCTCACAGCAGTCTCTCTGTATCCCCCCCTTATCTCTGTCCTTCTTCACTGAAGCAGTTTCTCTGAGCCTAGGCTTTGCAGTCAGGCTAAATAGCTATGTTTTCTAACCACAGACTCAACTCAAAAATGTACATTTCACCTAAATCAAAATGGATTTGTACCCTGGAAAATTTCCACTCTGCCTCACTACAAACTGCCATCAGGAACCTGGGCTGGTGAGTTTTATTTGCCAGGGAAAAGGGCCAGTGCTGGTGTTCAGGGGCCCGTGGCCCAGAGCGGCCGGCTGCACGCTAAAAATTGTGCATTGCGCCAAATATCTCCCGGACCCAAGGTGCCACCATCGCAAAGTCAGGCTGCCTTGTGAGTCTTAATTGCCTCCTGCAAACCTCTCATTGTCAAGGGTTTTGATTGAGGGAAAAATTTCTCTTTTTTCATTGCTGGAGGGATTTAAATTGAGGAGAACCCTTCTTTTAATAATATTTTTGGAGAATAAATTAAAGGGTAGAATTGGTTTATTTGCCATTTTATCAGTTTCACTGGAGCTAACTGCCCTGGTTTCTCATTTTTACAGGTTCACTTGAAGGAAGCTCTGTCTTTTTCAGCATTTTAAGGATTTAAATATTCATTTCTGGGCACTTCTTTCTGTGCCTTTGGAGCAGCTATCTCAGAGAAGGGTGAGCCTGGCATATATCTAACCCTTACTTTGCCCAGGAGGTTTTTTTTTTACTTATTTTTGTTTATAATGCACCTAGTCCTAATTAGGAGTCTCAAGGAGACTTGGACTATATACATCATTAGTATTCTTCTCCACCCTACTTAGTGACACGTGATGTACTACTTAGTAATCACCAAGGAACATTTATGTCAGTTAACAGCAAATAACCCAATTTATCTTTATAAAGTTTTATGTCTTAACAGTTTTCTGTTCTTCGACTCCAAGTAGCTGATGCAAAAAAGAAAGCGCTGTTATTTTCCCAAAGAGTTTTCTTCTACAACAAGCCCTTACTCACCTTGAATTTGAGTCAGAGGAGCCAAACAGTAGCAGCTGCTCTGAGGGCTTTTATACCCGGTGGGATGAGCCCCCTCCCTTTTCCCGGGCATCATGGGAAGGAGAGGTGGGCACCATCAGGGGTATATTAACCCCAGCTTTTGCTGAGGGGGTTCATTCCTTCTCTGGGATGTGTGGGGATCAGAGCTCTCATCTCATTTCAGCAAAGAGGCTCTTTCAGCTTATCCCAGTGTGTTTTCAGCAGGTGTTTCTGGGCATCTCAAGCAACAGAGGCTTGGAAGATACTATGAAGAAAACAGCATAGAATACAGGGCGTATTTAAGTTCATAATTCTGGGTTTTGTGTTTAGGGGTGGTGAAGTGCATTTGCAATTTCAGGTTTTGTTCTTATTTTGTTTTGTATTTTCTTTTAGGAGGAGTGCAGCTTCCAGAAATTCCAGGTTGTGTCAAGTACAATACTTTTTTTCAGCAGATTCATCATGTCACAGGAGGTGTCTGCCCAGTGTTAAAGATGATGTTTGAGAGATTGAGGCTTTCGGTGAGTTAAGGATGTGATTAGGAAAGGGAGGGTGAGCAGGTATCTGGTTAGGAGTTATTGGGGGGGGGGGGGGGGGGTGTTGAAGGCAGCAGGGTGAGAAAGGGTGTTTATTTGAGGCCCCCCCCAAGGCTTTTCAGAAACCGAGCAGAGGCATTCACATGTCTTACAGCACACAAGGTCATCCACTGCACTCACAGGAATGCCATTTCACTTTGCCTTTCTCTAACCCCGGTGGCACTCATAATAATGGCCACAGCCTTGGAATCAGGATGAAGCTGGAGCCTGAAGGCCCCAGGCACACTCAGGAGAGGGCAATTAGCTGACTTCAGTTTTGGTTTTCTTTATTGTAGCTGACCGAGAGGCTAATGGGTGATCACGGGGCCCTCCGAGGCAGACTCATTTCAGGTGCAACGTGGATCCACATCACCGATCATCCAAAAGATAAGTCGGGGGCCACGGCCTGGAGACGGGACAATGGGAGAGCAGCGGGTTGGGAGTTCTTGGGACAGATTTAAAAATTAGCAGAGGGAAAGGCAATCTTCTCCAAGGGGCCTCTTAGGACAGCTAAAGGGAGAGGCTCTACTTTTGATGGCAGCTTTCAGGCGGGCAGCGCAGAACAGTTCCGGTCCACGTCGTGTTGTCCGGTGTACTGTGTTACCTAGTGTGTCTTTGGGGTCCCTTTTGCCTTTTCCCCTCGAGACCCTCACCACAAGCATGATGTGTTGTGTTTGTTATCCCCCTGTTTGTCACGTTCCGTGTCACGGGTGTCTGCACATATTTGTGCCGGAGCTGCTCTGCCCTGCCCTGCCGCATAGCCTGCTGCAACAGGACAAGTCCCAGGGACTTGCAGTTTGTGGGGTGTTGCCAGACTCTAGATGATATTCCTAGATAGACAGAAGATGTTTGGAGCTGTGAAGTTATCCTGCAGGCCTTTGACTTTTGTCCTCACTTTCTTTCAGACGCAGAAGGATAAAATCCAGGGCAAAATCCATCCATCTCGAGTGAGGAGGTTCCCCCGAGCAGGTCAGACACTGTTTGTCTCTGCAGGGGGAGTGTAAAGTGTGACTCTGTTACAGCACTGCTCTTTTTCTTTTTAGGAGGTAAAGCTGGATATCAGCAGTCAAGGTGAGGTGGGCAAGGTGGGCATTGAGTAGCGTCCAGAAGCAGTTGTTATTGCTCCAGTCTCGCTTTCCGGTGCAACTCTAAGCATCTGTTCCTGTTTCTGCGCTTTAGGCAATCCACTCGGAGTACTCCGCGCCCCAGTCACCAACCGGCCGACGCGCCAGGTGTGCCGCTCTCCTGAGCGCTGCAGAAGTACCACGGGACTCGTCAATGAAGCCTCTGC